TTACCGCGAAGTTTATGGAATATAATTTGGAGATGCAGCATGGTTTAGGATTGTATTTTCTGCGTATTGGAAGGCACTTTTAATTATTTATTTCTGTGTACGCACTTACATACACTCTGTCTTTCCCTGTGTTCAAGCCCTCCTGAAGTCTTTGCATTAGATACAGAAGGATCGAAAAGGAAATCCGATGATCGGTGGGTGCCAAAAATCTTGCTAAGTTGGAGAAGACTTTTAGGGAGATCATTACTGTGCTTGACCGTTTGAACATAGCAGAGATTAGGTGTGGGAACAATATGGTAGATACTATTGGGGTGCTGAAAATTCTGCATGTTCAACCATTGTTAAACTTGTTTGAAAAGATTGTATAAAAGCATATTTGACAAGGTAGTAAAAGATCACTGTTGTGCAGTGTTTCTCAAGTTTGGCATGATGGCTGGGGAATTCTACAACTTTAAAAGTCCATATCTTAAGTTGCCAAACTTGAGAAACACTGCCTAGTGAGTTGAGCTGACCAGGAAGTAGGTGTGTGTAACATTGCCTTCCTATGTCACAAATCAGACAGTAGAAGAAAAGTTCTTATTCTTAAGGGAGATTTCATGACAGAACTCAGTCCCTGGAGTTTGGTGGGTTTTTTTTTTTTTCAGATCTAAAGGTCTGGTAAATAGAAAGGTTGCAGAATAATAAAGAAACATGTAACTGAAAAAAAAAGTGAAATCCAATCCCAGCTTGTATATTAGAACAGTATTTCTCACTGTTGAAGATCTAGGCATTTCAACTCCTACAATTCCCCAGTTAGCCATGATGACTGGAGAATTCTGGGAGTTAAAGGCCACACATCTTCAAGTGGCCAATGTTGAGAAACAAAAATTCTTGTGACTTTTCTATCATTTTCTCAAGGGCAGTATTTTTTAAGAGACAAAAGAAAGTTACCATACATATATACACTGTGTGAATATATATACTGTGTGAATGTGTGTGTGTATATATGTATGGGGGGATAAGCAATCATTCCTGTGTAGTTGAAGTCAGTTTTGAACCATATTTGATGCATGAATAAATAAGACAACCCAATATATAATTTTGCTTCAAGTTTGTATCTTTGGCAGTCATATTTAGTTTTGTTGGTAAACTGTTCTCTGGTCCTAAAATTTGCCTTCTAAAATTTGAAAATTCTTTTCCCTGACTTTTTCATTAGATTACAAAATCTAATATAGTACTTTATTGTTTTGACAGTATAATACATATTATGAAAACTTTTTCACACAAAAATGTGTTTGATATGTGACTACTGCTGAACACATGCACTTTGCATTTTCTATGCTGCAAACTAAAATGTAGCATAAAAATACCATATCCAAATATTAGTCATGTCAGTCCTATAATTGCTTTGATATTGCAGATTCCAGAACTTCCAATGAATGTGTTCAGCAGTTTTCAAGAGTTTCAGACTAAGATCTGTACAAGCTCTGCATTGAGGTGTCAGGGATTAAATCTGAGAATGTAATTGCATGCAAGGAACATGGTATTAAATTTGTTCCTTTTCATCATAGAATTACTGTATAAATAGCTTCAGTGTTTCTGACACTTAATTTTACCTCATTCTTATTTAAAATATTCCAAATTTCTCTCTTCCTACACAACTTGGAATTATTTGCCCATTAACAAATCCATTTGTTGAGCATGTGTAGTTCCACCCCTTATACCTGGATAAGTATTTCCAATATTGAAGTAACGTAATTTACAGAATAAATGTTCTCTAGCAATAAGACTTCCCACATCTACCTCACTATCTCCATTACAACAAGGACAAAACTTCCTGGATTCTGGAGAGAAAGATGAATGTTCAGTAGCAGAACATAATTATGTTAAGTTCAAGATGATTTGGAGGCAGATCTTTTCAGTTGTCCATTGTATTCCCTTCTGAGAAGACTGTATGATGTCTCTCCTTGCAGCACCAAACTAAAATAGTGATTTTCTTGTGCCTTTGAATTTCTTTGTTAGTGCATGGTATTTAAAGGCATTTTACATTTATGGTATTTGTATTTTTTAAAAGTAGTAACTTTTTGTTTTTAATGTATATTGCCCAACAGCTATTACTATAAAATGACTAACAATAAATAAGTGCAGCAAAGTCATTTCCTTGCAGCTTGTTTCCCAACTTTCTAACAATGGCTTGAATCTCTCCACTGCATATAATATAAAAACATCCCTTCATATATTTAAAGTTTTCTCAATCTTGTCTTCCCAAGACTTGGGGTGTGAAGGTTTTCTTGTATTTGATCTCTATAAAACACAGGTATAATCTTGGCTACAAGGCAATCAAACTGATCATTCCTAGAGGAGATCAACCCTGACTACTCTTTAGAAGGCCAGATCCTGAAGATGAAACTCAAAATACTTTGGCCACCTAATGAGAAGGAAGGACTCTCTGGAGAAGAGCCTAATGCTGGGAACGATTGATGGTAAAAGAAGACGACGACAAAGAAGGAGGTGGCTGGATGGATTCTCTGAAGCAGTCGGCATGAGCTTAAATGGACTTTGGGGATGGTAGAGGACAGGAAGGCCTGGAGACCGTTTTCCATGGGGTCGCGATGGGTCAGACACGACTTCGCGACTAACAATAACAACAAATAATCTTGGCAATGTACAAGTTTATGTAGGCAGGGGTTCACAAAAACTGAGTAAGACATCCTTTCTCAGCACTTTTTAAATTCTTTTCCTCCCCATTCCCCTTCTGTTTCAAGCTGTATCAATGTTTTAGCCTGACATGTTGTATGTATCAGCCACTATAAGTTTATGTTGCAGTATGTCATGCAACTCCTAATCAAACTCCATGTCCTATCTTGATATATAGTTTCAACACAAGATGCAGTGCATAATCTCAGTTGTGTCTTCATAAACTTGAAGAAAAGCAATCTTGAAATACTGTTCAGCCAATTGAGCTCTAGAAGGGATCTCGGAGTGACTAAATTTCCCTTTGGAGGGCCTGAGCATAATTGTATTTTAGCCCTTGCGTCCAATATCAATAAATCCTTTCAGTTTTGGTCTTGAGCCTTCCTACCATCCCCTGCCCCTGAATATCACAATGTTATGTTTCTTCAGGTCATAAAATTATAAACATACCATCTGGAAGAGAATCATTACTTAATACATGTGATCTACTTAGCATAGTGCTTTTTCTTTTTAAAATAATGTTGGAATTTAACTTGATTGCAGAACATAGTTTAAGAGCTGTTTTTATTGTGATTTTAAGATTATTTTATGAATTGTTCTACACTCATCTAAAAGGAATATAAACATCTAAACTATGAACTAATTTGAAGTGCTGCACTTTGTTTTCAAATGCATCCTTTTCATTATTTTAAAAGGTATCCTTAATCATTATAACTGTCACTCTAATGGGATTATAAGGAATTGACCAATAAATTAAATTTGTATTACAATTATATGTTTCCCATTGTGTTACCTAGGGTTTCTGAAAATTATAGTTAGCAATATCTAGACTACCAGAGACTGTTTATTCTTTAAAAGAAATTTCTATATTTGAATATGGCTGTGTTGATTTTCATTACGTTACTAATATTTTTTATCAAGTAAGATACATAAAAACAAATCAAGCGCTGGAATATTATTGATCTTCCTCCTATTTTGTATCGTATATCAAAATAACCAAAGATTTTCAGTTAAAGTGGATTATTTCATTTCTGCTATTTATGAATACCAGTTTGGCAGTTAGAAAATAGAATCAAACTGCCACCTTTCTAAAAGAATAAAATGACAATTTCCTACAAATACATTGAAATGGACTACTGGTAGTCCTTTTGTTTAACAATGGTTCAAAGTTATGACAACCTCTGAAAAAGTGAATTATGACCCGGCCTCAAAATTTTACACACACACACACACACACACACACACACAGTCATGGGATCACAATTCAGGTATTTGTCAACCAGCTCACATCTGCAACAGTTGCAGAGTGATTTGCAATCTTCCTAGCTGGCTTCTGACAAGCAAAGTCAACAGGAAGTTGGATTCACATAACTCTTATTCCGTTAACAGTCATGTGATTCACTTAATGGCCATGCAATTCGCTTAACAGCAGTGGTAAAATGGTCATTAAATTGGGTCCAATCATGTGAAATCTCACTTTACTGCCACACAGACTTGCGCTGGAAATTCCAGTCCCAACTGTGATAGTAAATCAAGACTGCCTGTATGCCACTTACTTACAGTTCTTGGCTGATGGATTTTGCATAACAGCAGCAATATGCACTTTTAGAACAGCCAATGTTTTTTTTGTTTTTCAATTATTTGCTAGGGAAGCATAAGGACATTTACTTTATTGAAAACTTTCTATTATATAGCACAGAGCTTCGTGTTCAGATCTTATTACTGAGTAACACATGATGCTAAAGTTTAATGAAGTTTGTTGAGTTTTGAATTAAAGTGATATAACACATCCATTATGACTTACAGAAAGCAGAACAGTCGGTTATTCAACAAGCCATGTTAGAAAATTCCCAGTGTTCCATGCAAAGAAGTCACTGTTTGCCTCAGATGATACCATTTTATATAACAAAAATTTAAGTGCATAGTTGAACATTTGATTTATGTGTAGCCCTTAGCCACAGATAACAGATTATATTGCCAGTACTGGCCTCCTTTAGTTTATAGCTGGGATTCTATAAGAACTTTAGGGGTTTTTTTGGGGGGGGGGGGGCATTTTAATGTAAAAGGACAGGGTTACAATAATCTTGCTAGATTATTTTACATCCAAACACATATTCCCTACTCTCTGTATCTCATGCGTTTTGTGAGAAACTCTAGTCTTTCATCAAAAACTCTTCACAGCGACAAGGTTCTTATCAATCTCTATTAATCTCTACCTGTCCGCATCCTGTTTAGTGCAAAACAGAGGCACGTAATTTGCTCCATTATGGCAGCTCCTCTCACTTTCACTGTATTCCAACCCAAGGTAGAGAAGTACACACAGCAGATGGTAGTACATGGATAATCTTTATTGTTAGAGGAGCACCGGCAATCCATTACTGATCGTAGTGGAGACACATGCTAAGGCACTTATTATATAAAAGGTTTGCAAATTTGGTTTGGTGACAGCAACAGGGATAGGAGGTTCCTGCAGTGAGAGCAATAACCATACAGTATAGGGTATTCTTATTTTAATTTTGTCATTTACTTAGAAGTTTAAATGCAGCATATACAATATGGTTAAGTATACAGATAAATCCAGCAACCAGTGTATGGTGTAGAAAAGTAAAGACTATCTATATAATTGCAGTCCCCATAGAAAGGCAGTGATAAAGACCTTTACTGTATTTTCTTAATTACTTATAAACAAGAGATACCAAGGTCTTCAACATATCATCTGTGCAGATTAAAAGTTTTTCTTCTTCTTTAATATACTCTTAGTCAGTGTGCAGAATAACTAAACCTATCCCCTGATTATAGAGCTAGAGGCTTGGACATTAGAGTAAAGAAGCACTTCCTTGCCCATACTCCATTCAAACTCACTAAAGTTCTGTTTCTTACCATTAAATATATTTGGTCCCAAACAGGTTCTCCAATAAGAACATAGGAAAACTTGATGCTTTCTTGACTTGTCATTAATTATTGATTCATTCCATCTTAGACATAAAGCCTGAGACACCATTGCACTTCAGAACTGTCCAGGTATTGGTTACAAGGAGGGATCAAATTAATGAAGTCTCTTGTAAGAGAAGCTTCCTTCCTCTTCATCCATACCCGAGACTTTGTGTTCTACATGATTTCAAAGACATTTGGAAGGCATGCTGGGAATCCTTGCTTTTCCTATTCAACATGACCCTTAGACTGCTAAGTGGACAGACTGAAGAAGTAGAAACTATGAGGTCACCGAACATGATTGCCAAAAGCAAACAAAAGAGGAGGAATAAAGGGTGGTTTCTTGCCTCTATCACAAACTCGTTATTAGAAGAAAATAGTTGATTTATAGCAACAAAAAGTACTCTCTTTCCCACCAAATTACAAACATTTACTGGCAGCTGTGGGAAGAACAATCAATGTTATAGGCATTGTAGTGCCCTGTCTCATATCAGACTACAGACTCTTTGGCATTCAATACAAAAGAGTGTGATGCTGGGAGAGATGACACTAATGTCTGATGGCTCCAAATAGTCCAAGAAACACTGTAACACTATGATCCACTTTCCCCAGCACACTTTAGAAGGGTTTTGTGACAAAGGGAGGGTAGGTCATTTGATAATGGGTAACCTGGAAGCAATTCTATTCAGTAGCTTTGGCATCACCACCATCTGCCTTGCCATCCAGTTCTTCATCAGACACTTCACCTGGTCCCTTCCTGGGAATCCGGCGTGTCATCACAAAGGGCATATCTCCTCGTCTATTGGAGAAAGTAGCACAAGTTATATGGGAATGCTAGTATTCCATACTTAGGCAATCTACTCATTCGGACATGCTCAAGGTAAAAATGTTAAGGAAAGTTTACGTGAACAGCAATTTTACCTAAGTTTGCTTCTCAGGGAAGTAATCTCCCGGTTCATGGCATCAGAGGTCTCAGTGATATCCTCCACTTCTCGTTGCAGCTTTCTGCGAGCTGCGTTGGCTCGTTGCGCTTCTTCTTCTGTCTCTTCCAGCTGACGCTTAAGTTGCTTCAAGCGTGCACTTATTTTATCTGCCTATAGTGCAATAAAGAGGAATCATCAGGGTTCTAGTTTATTCACATGCACATATCAACCCTGACTTGGAATCTTTAAAATGCAGCCTATAAACTAAGTGCAAATTCTTCAAAAGAGGTGCCTAGCAAAACACTTCAAATCATTAAGTCATGTCTTTTTCCATTCTGACAAAGTTGCCTCACAATCTGAAATGGCATAAGTACGTCCTTTGAAGTACTAGCACTCTTCTCATATAGAATATTCCTGAACCTGACTATACAAAGTCAATTTCATTTATTATTATTTTGAAATCCTTCCTTTCCCCTAATAGCTCACAGTACAGTAGAACCTCTGGTCACGACCCTAATTGGCTCCGTAACTTCGATTGCAACCCGATTTGGTCATGACCGGAAACAAGACTGACTGAGCATATGCCTACAAAAAATATTGGCATGGAAGGGTGTGGAAAGGGAATCGGTATGGAAAGGGAATCGGTGGCGGCTGTATTTGATCGCCACCCAATTTTTGAATCGTGACCCGATTCAAAAATGATGTGGATTTTTTGGCCAGAACCAATTTGGTCGGAATCAGAAGTGTTCATGACCAGAGAGTCTACTGTACTACCCAAGGGCAATCTGTATCAAATTAGGTGGTCTATGGGTATGTTAGGCCAAGATAGTACCTGGCCCAAAGTCATACAATGAGAACTTGAACAAAGTTTCTTGATCCTAATGTAATACATTCAATTCTTATCTTGGAGATTGATCTATGATTCCAGAGTTTATAACTTAAGCAATACAAACAGGATACCTCAATCCTAAAATTGAGAATTTCCATTATTAGACATCTGATTACCCAATCACATATATGACTGACAAAAATGTATTAAAGCAGGAATATTTGGTCGTAGCAAAAAGGTTGTAGAAATCAATAAACTAACTGCTAACATCTTAACTTGCTAAACAGTTGAACTTTGTAGAGTTGTAGGCAGTGGTTTCTGCCATGCAGCTTGGATTATCAAGCATCAGTTTTGAAACTGCATATACCTGATCTTTATATTGTTCAGCATTGCGTCTTTCATCTTCCACTTGTAGAATAACATCTTTCAGCTTCTTCTCAGTACGTCGGACCAGCTTGCTGGCAGCTTGGCGTTCCCTTTAAAGAAAATAGATAGGTCATGCATGTTTGTATCCTAAAGGTTACAAGGCTGATAGGCCTGCAACAAACTGCCACAAACCTTTTTGAAGTTGGCACTGCAACAAACTGCAATATCTAAGTGAAGTTCCAGTTAGGACCAAAGCAAATAGAAAATGGGACACTACTAGAAACAAAATCTATTTAGAGACAATGGGTAAATTTAAATGAAAAAGGAATTCTGGAAGGTACATAAAAGTGCTATTTTCTATGTGTATTCAGAGTAGAATGTGTATTAGTATGTATGATTTGCTCTTTTATGGTATTCCTAGTGGGTTATAGGCTTACATTTTGTAATTTTAGCCTATTTGCTTTTTTCATAATATTTTTTCTTGTGTAATTTTAGAATGTACTAACCAGAATCTCAATATAATTTAAGTGTTATATTAAGTATTGTGAAGCTAGGGAAAAGAGTTAAAGGTGTTACTCCAATTAGTCTACAGGAGAGTATATTTAAAGAAAAAAGATGAATGGATAACTGTAAAGGAACAGACAAAAAATGTTAAGTACTATGAATTGTATTGAGATAAGATAAACAAAATATAATTAAGAAAGATAAAAGAGGGAAGAAGTTATACAGAAAATTGAAAATGGTAATAAGATATGGATTGACATATAAAGTAAATATTGTTTTTTGAATTTGTGTCTGTGCGAAGAGTTTTAACCCGGGATTAAGCAGCTTTCAGAAATGAGGTTTTTTATGTTCTATGTTATGTATGTTTTGTCTATTGTTTTTTTTAAAAAGGCAAAAATTTTGATTAGTAAGAAATATAATCTGGACAATAGAAGGAAAAGGAGAAATTGGGATAGGATATCAAGATGAGCAGATAATGTAAAAATGAGATAAATTAGAAAAATGTGATATAAAATAATGTGTTACCTGCTTTGTAAAGATCTATGATGGAAAGTGGGTTTTTTTTAGTGTTTAATGATGTTTTGTCTTGTTTGTTTCTTGTTAAAATTAATAAAATTTGTTTCAAAAAGAAAAAAAGAAAATGGGACACTACTTGGTTTAGTCTATGAAGGCTCTCTATAGTCTGAGCTGTGTGCTTGCCACCATCAAGCACTCTGTTGCACTACATTGAACAGTTATGTTTGTCCTGCATGGCAAACAACTTAACAGTAAACAATAGCCTAATCCAGAAACCAGCAAGACCACTACCACCAACACTGACAGGGCAAGCCACTAGCATATAAATGCATATAAGCTAGTGGCAAGCCACTAGCATATAAATCCTATCTTAGCACTGAAAATGTAACCTAGTTTGGTAATTAACCATCTACAAGAAAACAACCAAGCTCAGAAAGTACAAAAATTTTACAATTCCACCCTGAGCTATAAATATTCTCTTCCATTGAAACGTTTTCCTAACCCCAAAACTGCTAAATAAGAGAAACGTAATAGTTGAGTGTACAATGGAACAATTGAAGGAGCTAGAAACTGGAGTCACTGAGGGCCAATATACAATTGCCATATACATCTAGACACAAGGACATTTTCCCCGAATGCCATCACTCTGCTAAACAGCTAACTCCCATAACACTGTCAAATTATTTACTAAGACTGTATTACTATTATTATTCTCATCCTTCCGAGTACCCTTCTCTTCCCACTTATGACTATAAACGTGTTGCTTGTATCTTTACAATTTATATAGTTTTATTTGTTTCCTAGTGTGATCTGATTGCTTATTAGTAACCTATGACTATCAATAATATATCATACGATTCTTGATGAATGTATTTTATTTTTTCTTTAGGTACACTGAAAGCATATGCACCAAAGACAAATTCCTTGTGTGTTCACTTGGCCAATAAATAATTCTATCTATCTACTTCAAATATCAATTTTGTAATCTAGATAACCTGGAAGACCTCAGCATTCACACTGACTGATCTGCCTTTCACTCAATCTTTTTCTAAGGACTTCATTTCCAGGATTTAATGAAGGTTAGAATGATCAGCACCTAAAATTTAGGTGGTATGTACATTACAAAAGGCTGCTGAATTTTGACCATGTAAATCATTCTCAATTAACTCCTCTATTTCTTTTCATTGTTCCTCTAGGTCAGAGGTGTCAAACTCAAGGCCCAAGGGCCGGTCTGCGGGGTACTTAAATCCAGCCTGCGGGGTACTTAAATTTGGCCCATGGGGCCAGCCTGGAAATATCAAAAGACCGGCTATGGTGCCTCTGCCGACCAAAATGGATTGCTGCAGAGGCCTGCACACAGCCCGTTTTCAGCCTCCCCAGCTTCCAGCAGCACTTTGTCAGCTGAAAACAGGCCATGCAGAGGCCCCCTGAGGCCTCCACGTGGCCTGGTTTTGGCTGGCAAAGTGCTGCAGGAGGCCATCCAGGCTGAAAACAGGGCGCAGGGGAACCTGCGAGCAGCCACCCTGCACCCCGTTTTGGCCAGCAGGGTGCTGCATGAGGCGTCCATCCTGTTTCTCCCCTCCTCCACAGAGAACTACAGTGCTGACCCAGCCCTTGAAGAAATCCAGTTTGATTACTTACCCCTGCTGTAAGTAAAGACAAATCATGTACAGGGCCATTAAACTGCAACAAAAATGGACAGTGAATGCCCGGTAAATTATCAATACCTACTTTGTCTCAGTGTCGAGCTGTTCCTCCAGCTGTACTATTTTTGCCTCAAGAGCAGTGATAGAAGACTTGTATTTAGATTTCACAGCACTCTCCATTTCCTGAAGCTTTGCCTTTAGTTCCTTATTCTGACGCTCTGCTTGTTGGCGAGCATTTTCATTTTTCTGGGCATTACTGCGTTCTGCATTCAGATCTGTATTTATCTGATCAATCTAGAAAAGAGGTATGTGAAAACTTTATATATTATGAATATTTCTTCCTCCACGTCCGTTAGTCTCTCCTTTCCCCATTTGTGTCACTTTTACTAAAATCTTATCTTTTAGATTGAAATGATGCAGGGCAGGAGAGTATAGAAAAGCAATCCCTGTTCAGTGCCAATAAAGAAAATTATATACATATAGTTATATATGTCACATACGTGATTTTTAAAAAAACTTTTCTAAAGTAAATATTTATGGTTGTAACTTCGGCTCATTATCAGTAGCTGCACAAGTTATCACTGCTTGATATCTAGTTTGTTGAATATCTCATAATCAGCTGATGTTGCACAGTATATTAAGCCATTAACCAAGGTTTAAAAGCCACCATTTCAGGTTTCACACAGCATTCTAAACTCAAACCAATTGAAACCTCTCAAGCAAATACCTGAAGATTTGCCTTCTTGAGACGATCGTTCACCAACTCTGTATTACTCTGCTCTTCCTCCAATTCTTCTTCAAGCTGAGCTATCCGAGCCTCCAAGCGACGTTTTTCTTCCAAGGCCAGAGCTCTGAGGTACAAAAGAAATATATTCATATACAACATTTTGAAGAAAAACATACCTGATTATTTATCATCTATAAAGCAATTCACAGAAAGTTATGAACTAATCTGTCTCCAGAAACAGAACATTTTACATCTAATTATCAGCACTTAAGGTATAGGCACCATGGAACCTCTTTTGCAGAACCAGCTTATTGTGCCATGAAAGAAAGTAAAAAAGTGCTATTTCTCACCCTTTGCCACTACTGTTAGCAATCTCATCAGCCAGCTCATCCCTCTCTTGTTGAGCCTGGCGCTTAGCACGTTCAGCAGCTGCAAGCTCCTGAAATCAGAGAAAGATGTACACAAACTCCTTGTGAAAATGAAGCTTTAAAAAGCAAGTATTGTAATCTAGTTATAACTAGGACAATCATATACTTTTTATGTCACAATAGATAGATAGATAGATAGATAGATAGATAGATAGATAGATAGATAGATAGATAGATAGGCAGACAGGAAGGAAGGAAGGAAGGAAGGAAGGAAGGAAGGAAGGAAGGAAGGAAGGAAGGAAGGAAGGAAGGAAGGAAGGAAGGAAGGAACTTTTTAGAATCAAAAATAATTTATTAATAAAAACCTAGTGTTTATAGCTACAGTTAAAAATTTAACTGCTGCCAATGTAATTTGGGATTTCTATCTCAACTAGCAATCACTTGCCAAAACAGCATCTAAAGCTACCAGGCATGTAATCACAAACTAATCAAAACATCCATGTTTTTCTTTCTTTCTCTCTTTCTCTCTTTCTTTCTATTTATCTATATCTATCTATCTATCTATCTATCTATCTATCTATCTATCTATCTAT